ACTCGAATTCCCCAGTTATAAAATTTTCTCAACGCAATTGTTAAAACTTTTAATTAATTTATAAATAATGAAATAGTATATTGGTTGAGATGCACTATCTTTAATAACTTTCCAAAATAGTAAGATATCACAAAATCACGAAAATCTATCTTTCACAGATTTAACTTTTATGTTTGATATTTTTTCAAAAATAAATTATTACAAATAAAGCTGATTTTTTTATTCCCATTGAAATTAAAATATAAGCACAAAAAGACCGTATATTTTGTATTTGTATATGAGATAATATCTCCGGTAATAATAACCGATCAAGTGATTATTCACAATCAGATTAAAACTCTATCAATATTTTGAGATCTTTTTGACTGACGTAGCATACAGAAGTAGAACTTCGAAAGAGAAGAAAATAAGATACGGGTGATTTCCTTCCAAGAGATTGTCTGAAGAGACTGACATGTTTTCATACGTCAATGAGTATCCATTATTTGTAATTTCACCCGCGCTAATCATTGTTAATTACGCATAAGCAGATGACGACAACAACTGAATAAATAATCATACATACCTCTTTATCAAAGTTTTCCAATTAGAGATTGGAGACTGGTCTAAGGTCTACATCACGAGCAAAACGGAAATTACGATAAAGTCACGCACATTGAACGTCTGTTTTACTTTCACGTCATCATGATTACCTAACAAGTTCATTTGAAATGTTTTCGAAGCATATAATCTACTTACAATTCGTTTTATACATCCTCTTTAGCGACCACCAAAGATTTATCTCTGAAAAAGTTTATATTTTATGACGCCTATAATCAATTATTCAATAATCATTTATTTGGATTTCCTCTTTCTTCTAGAAAGTATTTCTACATTGATTTATGACGTATACATGTATTATTCCTTTGCTACTATCACGACACCAATTATTACGATACTTTCTCATAACAATTGTTAAAATTATTCACTGTATTAATGATTAAATAGAAAATGCGTTGTAAATATTTTTAATAATATTTTAAAATTAGAATATCAAAATCAAGAATATTAATATTAAGAAAATTAAATTAAACTTTTAGGTATCAATTTTTTTATTTTTAGGATTAATTTTCGATTATGATAAAGGCTTGATTTTTGATAATTCGATAACTTCTACTAATTTTTGCAGATTAAATAATCTTTTTATCCTTAAAAAAATTCGCATGGTTCTTATTCTTCAATTATTTTTAATTGAAGAAAAAGATACAAAAATATAAAACTTTGTATAAAACATATTAATATATTGCTAAAGATAAAGTATTATGTAAAATAATTTAATTGTGAGATATAAAAAGTGAAACAGACTTTCAACATGCTGTAATCATTTTATGACAATCAATTGACATTATTAAGTTCGAAGATCAATCGCAATTTCTTACGGTACTCATGCACTCATAGCAGTCATTGCAACTCATATTCATTGATAAAAGAGATATTTATAGAAACATTACATTAATAAAAGACACAACTATAGAACAATTATAAATAGCTGTTATTATCTTATCGACATTAATCATGACATATTTATTTGGTATTACGAGACGAGAACAACTCTTTTTTTCTTGTTATCAGGCTCGCGGAAATCGTACTCCGTTCATTGAGCTTCACATTTTTTGCACAGATTTGTGACATATTAACTTTAATCAATTGATTAAACATGATACTGCGAACGCAATGCTGTTCTCATTCTTCGAATTTGTCCTGAAAATCTTATCAAGCTTCAGATGAGATATTTGACTTTTCAAGGATAAAATAGGAGATCCTGTATATTTTTTTAATAGATTGACTACTTTGCATATTAAAATTTAAAGCGTTAAATATTAAGAAAAATTTTTAAATACATTCTGAAACTAATATGTAATTCCTCAGATATTCAACTTTTATTTAAAGTTTATGTCATATTATTCTACTACGAGTTCAGTAAGTTTTGCTAATAAAATCGACACACGAAGAAATTAAGAAAAAACAGACTTTGTTATATATTTTTTGTATAATTATTATTTTATAGACTATTGTAGTCATTTTTTTTTGCTTGGATGAAGTAATGAATAAACATGTCACTGTCTTATTGTTAGTAAATATTCTCTTACTTTTATGTCAGTGTTATTGTACAGTTATAGTAAGATAAATAACTATTTGCTAACTGAAATAGTAAATATAATAAAATGCTTCAGGATATAAATATTTTTTTTTAGTATAATCGACGTTCTATAAATTAAATTATATCATAAAAAATTATTCTATTTAAGAAATTATTCTATTTAATTTCCAAACTTCATCTCTTACAGCAAACCTTCCCCACTTATTTTAACATTTATCTTGAAAGTCAATCTTTCAGAAAAAAACAATTTTCAAAGTAAATATTTATAGATTAACAATTAAGATTGTAGTAAGGCTTTCAATGTAAAATACATATTTAAATTATTAGCTGGAAAGAACCGAATATATAAATAATAGTTAGTTCAAAAAAGAATTAATTTTCATGGAAAAACTGATTAATTATTTATTGGAAGACAAGTGTTTATTAAAAGTAAAATCTTGAATTGAGATTTCTTAGTTTCTTATTAGTACCTTGGTATATCGTGCCAAAGAAAATGTGTGTCCTGTGCATAATCAGTTTCAATAAAAATTAATTCTTTCTTGAAATTGATGCACTATAATTCGTCCAGTATTTCTAGAAATATTTATTTAACTATAAATTAAACAGAGTTATACTCTGAATGTATATACATATACATATATTATACATATATTAATACAGAAGTTATAATCGAGTTTATAAAACTGGATATACATATGTATAAGCTGTAAGAATAATCGGTTGCATTGAAGTTTGACAATAAATGTTTATTGTTCACATTCGATTCATTTTAAAGAATAGTAAAAAATGATCACAAGATTTTTAATTTTTAATAAATTATTTTAAATTAATCCCAAAGCAATCATAATGAGAAAAGTTTATAGACACGCGAAATAAAAAAATCTTTACTTACCTTTGAACAACAAGGTGTCAGTTATTAATTTTGAACGTAAGTTAGCTTCAAAGTTCAACGCTGTTGCTTTTGTAATTTATGTAAACGATTGCACATACTTACTTTGCACTCTTTTCAAATGAATTAGAGTATTTGCCGTTGTAGTCTCTTTACTTGTGAAGTTTCGCAAAGCTTTTTATGCCTTATGAGGGGGGCGATTCTTAAAATTAGTTGTGACTATTAACAATTCTATCATTCTTGTAAGTCCGATGCATTTGCTCTGATTTATTGGAAATATAAATAAGTAGAAGTGAGAGGTTACATGCTCCTCCTTCTTCAAATTTTTACATAATTAGAGGCATATTTAAAATTTTTTTTTTTTAACTAACATATATTGTATATACATATATCAATAGATTTTTTTTCTTCTTTTCTTAATCATATATTTTCGAAACCGAAAATTGTCCTCGAAAAATACACATTAAACTTTTCGATTGACTCTATTCGAATTCTTTTTAATAATTTTATATGATACTAAAATCTTTGTTCAGTGATATAATTCTCATATATGTATACATATGAGAATTATATTTAAAAACTTGATTTATCTTTCTTTTTATTTTGTAATTTTTATAACTTCGATATTTTAAAAGTTCTTAGCTCATATGTTTCATTCATTCATCATCACTCTTAATTGTATTTATCATATAATAAATATACCGTTTATAATATATAAATAACATTTATTTTTACAAAACAATTTAATTTATAAATAGTAAATAATAAAGTATAATAATATAAAATAATAAATAAATACAATATATTAAGAAATAAATTAGAAATAAATTCTAATTCTAAATTCTAATTAAATAAATTATACTAAATAAGTTAAATCTACTATTTAGTTTTTTTTATATTAAATATACACTGCTGTTTATGAAAATTGCAACACAACTAATATCATTATTCCTTCATGGTGTTGGAATTTTCACAAACAGCAGTATATAATAACAATCTTTTTACTTTTTAGAAGCATACTAAATACTAACAATAAATATTTTCTCTAGCTATATAGCATAAGTTAAATCTATTCGGTTTCTTAAGTTAAATATGTAATTTTTTTTTTTTTTTAATTAAATGTAGGAGCATAATTAAATACTAACGATAAGTATTCTTTCTAGATATGTAGCGTTATAAAAATTCTGAAAAGTAACTTTTTTTTTAATTATTTGTAACTTTTGTTGACATTTCCATATAAGATCTAGCTTATAGAAAATATATTTTTTTTTTTGCATATATTCTATAATTTTTTTTCTCTTAAATCTAAATATTATAGTCGTTGATATTATCGTCGTAATAAATAAGTAAGAAACGCATAACTTTAAATTTAACAGTACTGAGATATCTCTTCTAATAAAAAAATACGATTCGTTCGATCACAATATCTATATGATAGAAAGACATGAAAACTTAATAAATAAATACAATATGTTAAAAAATAAATTATAAATAAATTCTAATTCTAAATTCTAATTAAATAAATTATACTAAATAAGTTAAATCTATTATTTAGTTTTTTTTTATATTAAATATACACTGCTGTTTATGAAAATTACAACACAACTAATATCATTATTCCTTCATGGTGTTGGAATTTTCACAAACAGCAGTATATAATAACAACCTTTTTACTTTTTAGAAGCATACTAAATATTAACAATAAATATTTTCTCTAGTTATGTAGCATAAGTTAAATCTATTCGGTTTCTTAAGTTAAATATGTAATTTTTTTTTTTTTTTTTAATTAAATGTAGGAGCATAATTAAATACTAACGATAAGTATTCTCTCTAGATATATAGCGTTATAAAAAATCTGAAAAGTAACTTTTTTTTAATTATTTGTAACTTTCGTTGACATTTCCATATAAGATCTAGCTTATAGAAAATATATTTTTTTTTTTTGCATATTTTCTATAATTTTTTTCTCTTAAATCTAAATATTATAGTCGTTGATATTATCGTCGTAATAAATAAGTAAGAAACGCATAACTTTAAATTTAACAGTACTGAGATATCTCTTCTAATAAAAAAATACGATTCGTTCGATCACAATATCTATATGATAGAAAGACATGAAAACTTAATAAGTAGAATCTTGTGCAAATTTAAATCTTCAATTAAACGATTTAAAGCGCAACGACAAATTCCTGGATGATCTTGGATGATTTCTTTTCAAGTGTGGCAAGTTTCTCAGTTCCGAACTCTGTCGCTCGATTCAGATCCTTATGAAATATCGCGTTCATAATGCGAGAAACATCAGGAAATTTTAGCAAGAAGAATAGACATTTCAACGCCCAGTACATTATTGTCTCCGACCAACTAAGAGATTTATACAGGCCAGGCATGTCGAGCTTGAGTACGTTGCACAAATAAAGCAAAAAAGCTTTATAACTTTTGAAGAGAGCAATGAAGCCGATTCCCTCGAAGACGCAGATGGACATGTGCTCCCATTTTGCCGTCACTGTGGGAAAATTTGGCTTTACCCAATACTCGATGAAGTCTTCGGCACGTCGGCGTACGTCCTGCAGACTGCCACGACAGAAGTTGTACTGATCCTCGATGCCCAGCAAGTAGCCCAGTCCGCGCCAAAGATGACAGAACGCTTCGAGGTCTTCTTCGCTGGCGTTGTGCACTCCGAATTGTTCAGGATAGAGCACTATCAGGCCCATGAGGGCGAACTGCGTGCCTGACATGTCACCTTGATTCAGACCCTTCATCCTCAACATCGTATACGGACATTGCCAGCTCTTCCCTGTCGGACACGTTTCTTCAAAGTCCCTCGCGATTGTTTTAAACGCCGGGCACATTAGTTGAGTAATTTCGCTCTCCCGATCGATCTGATCGTCGCTTATCTTGCACAATTTCTCTCTCATGTTACGATGCAGTTTTCGTACCATCTGGATATCGCGATAGGCCTGCGTTCCTTCGCGCCAAGGATCGCTTATGTACCAGTTCATGAAACGTCTATTTGTTGACAAGTAACGTTTGAAGGCGCGATACGGCGTATTGGATTTCTGGCTGAGGATTAGCGGCTTCAGTCCGTCAGCAAAGTTGAATATCATTAGTAGACTCATCAGGCCGCTTAGGGCGACGCCGGTCAAATAACGTAGGGCGAATTGTTGTCCACGATAAAATTTGTCCATATCTAACCAATCTGGCCTTTCGTTCGCCGGTCGGCCGCAATCCCCATCTTTAAAGATCGCTGGCAAAACGAATCTTAGAGATTCGGGTATGTTTGGGAAATATTTGTTAATATTGTTTATAAGATGGTCATATTGCTCTTGAAGTGTCCACTGATCGAAATCCACTGGCAAAGAGCTATTGACGAGTTCCTCTTTACACTTTGTTATGAATTCCTTGTGCTGGTCCATTTTGTTAAATTCAATATGTTGTAGGTATTTTAATTTAAGTATTTCTACATATTCAATAAACAAAATAATATTTAGTTGAACAATTTAGTCAAGTTAACAATTTTTTTCAGTGTACAAGATGTGAATTTATCTCGGAAATGCGTGGAAGTTTCAAGTGAAACAATTCAAATAAAATTTAATTAAATTTTGTTGTAAATTAAGGTCCGATTTTTCCCACTTCTCGGTGAGTTTTACCTGAAAGGTAGCATATTTTTGAATAAGTTCTAAAAAGCTCTTCAAATAAGTTCTAAAAAAAGAGACAAAGATATGCTACTTGTCGGGTAAAACTTACCAAGAGTTGGAACAACCAGCCCTTAATGAGAAATGTTGAAAAGATTTAAATAAATACCTACATAATAATTAAAGATATAGTATATGAAATATACATATTATAATATCTTCGAAAAGATATAATATATGTATGTGTAAAATGTATTATACCTTCAATTAATAAAATAATAAAATGTAATTAATAAAATTAAATTAATAATAATACACAAATTTTAATTAATAATAATAATAATACATTTTTTGCAACTTTAATTGAAAAATATTGAATTTATATATGTATAATAAATTAAAGATAAAATATACAGTACACGTTTACGTAATACGTATTATACAATCATGATGATTCGATTTTTCGATTGATAAATCTTTCGAGACAAAATTAGATGCAAAGTATTAAATACTCGAATGGAATTTCGTCATAGAATTTTTCAACTTTCCTCCAATTTTTCTAATCGCTTATCATGACCATATATCTCAATCAAACAACTACTTATTAATGTCTGTGACCGATAACTAGATCCCGGAGCTACGGGCAATCTAAAAACGCGCAATCGATAAGGCAATTTAACGGATTAACGTTCCGATAACGCGTAATTCCGGTTTGAGAAAGAAAAAATGCAAAATACGGCAATTAAATATGTATGGGGAAGTTTTGTCGCGCGACTGCATTCCACGACGAACGGAATGCTTCTATAACGAGAGTCACGTGTTTACAACATCGTGTAATACTCGGCGAGACGATGCGATGGTATGCACGACACGTTTAATATTTCAAGGACCCACGTGGTTCTCTCACCGGCAAAGTAAACATCGCGGAGAAGCCGGGGCGGATCTTGATATATCTAAACCGCGCGATGACATCTTGATTGTGCGTCTCGAGTGAAAGCTATTGTTTGCTCGAAAACGAGGGCCAAATCGGAGCAGTCGATAGATCAATCAACTTGATAAATCAACTCGAAGAATTGCGATTCGCGCAAGCTGCGTATCTCATTGGAAAGCCAATGGCGCGTCCTTGTAATCGTCGTGATTTATCGACAAAAAGATGTCATTTTATCTTCGATTTCTCTAATATATAATGGCCTCGCTTTTAATTTTATTTTCAATAATAATAATATTATTCGTGCTAACGCGATAGAAAAGAGAAATGACTGTTATCAAATAATCTATTTTGCGAGAGCAACACGATATGATTTATTCGACTTCGAATATGTAGAATGTGTCGCTCGTAAATTAAATGCAAATTGCCTGTAACAATATGTCAAGAGCAGTACCTTGAAAGTGACTAAATCGAAGTTCCGAACTCCGCGGTTCACTAAATCAATGCATATTTATTTTTGTTTTTACCTGTAGCACAAAATCTCAAAAATACAGAAGAATGAGAAACCTGTGACTTTTTTAAAAAGAGAAAATACAATTACCTAACCTAACCTAACAAAAACATTTTTATAACTTTTATTTTTTTTAATATATATCTAATTATTAGGAAAAAATATATAATTTTGACATATAACGTTTACGTTTATATCAATGAATTTCGTGAAATTTTGTCTCATTCAGAAGAACCTGAGCACTGTTTTTATACCGGAATATCCTTCTCATTTATGCCATACGCGGCACACTCGATTATCATGTTATTTACTCTACAAGTAGAGACGTCCCATCAAAACAAAACATTTCGCATTCAACAGTATACAGAGTATAATGAGACAGTTCGAGGAAAATTCAATTTACGTCTTTGACAGCTAGAGCTATCGACAGGTGGATAGTCATCGAGATTGAATCGGATGGCGCGTTTTTGACAGACGCGCGCGCGACACCCGCGACATACTTCACACAGTACCTGAGAGGACCCTGTATACGCGCTTCCTCCTTCAAAGTCGGTCCTGATGAGACGAGTGACGTCGGGGCTGATCTCCTCCTCGATGTAACACAAACGCGGATGCGAGACCGATGGTGAAATACACCCGCCACGGCCGAGCGACGACTGGTCGTGCCTCCGGACGAGCTTCCCCCGTGTATCGCGCGATCAACCAACCGGCCGGCTCGCGAGATCTACCACTACTGACGCGGCGTACGTCACTATCTCGATCGCGCGCACGCGAGAGCGCGAGAAGTCGCAGCGAGAAGGGAGAAGGCGGTGTGACGTTTACGTAAACAGAGAGGCCTGTCGTGAATCGGTGAGTAATTGTGTACGGCGTGATTGTTTTTGTATTATTATTTGCTACACTCGAGGCAAACATATATATGTACGTGTTTGTTTTGATAGTTTCCGAGATTCTCGATTCACGGAACTTCGAATTCTCTCTCTCTCTTCGATTTTGAGATATTTCGAGATATATCGATCCTATGAATTTAAGAGTCTGAAGTTTGAAACGCATGCTTCACTTCGGACGATACAATAATATTTTGATGAGTATTTGACCGAATGTTTATTTTTGATTTTCTATATACATGTTTACAATTAAAAGTCTTAAAGTTAACATTGTTTTAATTCGAAATAAAGTGAGAGAATATTTGTGTTGGAATTACGTGTTTTGATAGTTATTTTATAACCATATCTTGAAATATTTATAATTATAAATCGGAAATCTTTTGATCAAAGACCTTGTATATATAAGGAAAAATTGATTTTGGAGTGATTAAAGAATACACTTGTGCAGTTTAATGAATTAATTAAGTCGAAGCACGAGTATCGACCACCGACTGCTTGACAAAGAACAAGTGGAAGCACGTGAATTGTTCAAGAGTAAGTTCAAACATTATATAATCTTCATTCGGATGAGTAAAAGCGAAATTAATTGGATGTAGAAATTATTGTCATTCTATTGATATTGCGTTAATTTCTATCGCAATTGGAGGAATGTTGAAATCAACCTTAAAAATTAAAATGATGGAATATGTCACTATAGATAAGGCAGCGCATAAATAGACGCTGTTGTAAACAATTTGAAGATTTCAATTGAAAAAATCGGCACATGAATATATAAATGCTGTTGCAAACATTTTGAAGATTTAAATTTAAAAAATCGGCACATGAATATATAAATGCTGTTGCAAACATTTTGAAGATTTAAATTTAAAAAAATTTAAATAATAGAAATAAAAATCTGAAAGAATTTTAATTATTTTCTCACGTGCGACACGTTCGTTTTTTTTTCCTTCTAAAAATACTTTTCTACTATATCAAATCAATTTTTCCGAATGTAAAATTTGAAAATAAAAATTCTAATTTTAAACAAACTATTTAAATTAAATATTTTAATTAAAATTTAAAAAACTGAACGAAATATGTTGTCGAATTGTTTATGATTGCACGTGGTTTTCGCATCGCGTGACAGTCATTATCGGTCTATTAATTCTCAGCACACTAAACCCACGCATACACGCGTAAATTTGTACGAATCTGATGAAACGGATCCAATGCATCGTCTGTTTTTCATCTTCACTCGCTTTATCTTCAAATCCAATTTTTTAGTGCATATGTTATCTGGAATGTAAAAAATTCGTTTTATCTCGAAAGAAAAAAATCGTAATCAGCGCTTATTCTAGAGAGATCTCACTGAGAAATTACACACGAATGCGCATAAATAAATTAAGAAGCAATTTAATTAGGCAATATCTGTTATTTTGATCTAAAAATATATTTTTAAATATTACAGTTTTTCAATAAATATAAATTATTACTATTTATTAACGTGTATGTGTAATAAAACTAAATTAGAGATATAAAATTAAAAATGTAAAATATGGAAATAAAATCATAATATAAAATATATTAAATCTATAATTTTATATATTATATATTATATAAAATTATAGATTTAATATATCTACACTTAAAAGATTCTTAGACTTATAAAAGATAATAACTATATGTATAAGAAGCACGAGATAATGGAGATTTCAAAATACATGAAAAGTGATTATATTTCTTGAAATTTTTTGTATGATTGTACCTTGATAATCGTTCCGACCTGAGATTGGTCGTCGATCCGAACTTGATCTGTGGTCTGATAGACTCACTCCTGAACCACCTCGCGATGATGTTCCACTATTGCTCTTTCTAGATCCTGCATAAAATATATGATCAAATTATAGGTAAAAAAAAATAATTTAAAATAATTTAAATTTTTTGTAAAGTCTATTACAAAAAATTTAGATTGTTTTAATAAAAAGCTGACCCATAAAGATTTGTTTTTACAAGATAGAATAATTTTATATATTAAAAAAAAAATAGTTGATCATATATAGAATTATTGCAATCGTTATTATATCATTAATTCTATTGAGTTAATTAAAATACATAACAATTGTCAGATTATACATATATATATATATATATATATATATATATATATATATATATATATATATATATATCTGTTATTGTAGGCTAATTAAAATATATGTATTTACCTGTAGTGCCTGGTCTTGCTGAACCTTGTCTCTCTTTTAATTCTTTAGCTTTTTCAGCCTTCTTCAATTCAGCTGCATACATTTGTGCTTCTTTCAAACCCATATCACTACACAGTCTGATCAAAAACTTTAGGCATTCTATATTATCTGGAAATTTATTGTGAATATCTTGATACTCCGTGAGAGCTTTATGAAATTGTCCAGTGCGTCTTAAACAGGCAGCTACTAATAATCTCCATCTTGGTTCATCTGGTGCGAGTTCTACTGCTTTTTCAAAATAAGTCAATGCCTTTTCAGCAACCTTAAAATAGAAATTTAAGAAATATATATATAGAATATTTTTAATTTAATTTTATCAAAAGTTTATATTGCAAATAATAAAATGCTATACCTGCATCGATATGAAATATGATCCAATCCAATCTATCACTTCAAAATTTGCAGGATAGAATCTGTGAGACTGTAACAAATATATACAATTAATAAATATAAATAAAAAATATTGATGACACAACAGAATAGATAGTCAAAGATAACTTAATAAGTAGAAATAGAAAATTTACACTTACATCATTATAAAACTGAAATGCTTGCTGCTTGTCTCCTATCGAGTCATACATTTCTCCCAATTTTTGTAGAACTCCTGGGTCGGATGATAATATCCCTAACAATTGATTATACCTGCAATATATTCCAAATGTGAGAATCAAATTAATTACGTTCAGAAATTAATACCACACAAATTTAGTAAAATGACAATAATAACAATAAATTAGTTACAAAAGTTAAGAAAAATATATAACTTAACAAATAACTTAACCATTCAGATGCTTGATCGATATCGCTCATCAGCTGATACAAATGACCGATTTGATATAACGTTTGTGGATCGTGTCTAACGATATTACGAATTTTCCAGAAACATTCTAAAGCCTCCTCAAACATAGTCTGTTTTTTATAAACTAAGCCTGAAAAAATATTTTAATAGTTATAAAATAGAAGATGCATTAATTTACACATTTTTTATTATCATTGAATATAAAATAAATACGAAAATTTGTTCAAATTTTAATAATTATTAATTTAATAATAATAAATAATTATAATAATAATCTAACAACATCTATTTTATAAAATAATTACCTAAATTATACAGTGCTTGTACATGACTAGCATCCGTTTCTAAGGCACATAGCAATAGCTCTCTAGCAATGTTCAGATCATCTTTTTTAATTGCACAAGCAGATAAGTTAACGTAGGCTGCCGCGTTGTAAGCATCAGAGTTACGAGCTGCTTCTCCATATTTCTCAGCTTGATCGTAATCTCCTTGCTAAATAATTTTCTGATTAAACATAATAAACTGATATTTAACAGATAGATATTCACAGAATTTTACTCACGAGATAATAAATGAACGAAAGCATAGTTGCTGCTGCACTGTTAGCTTTAGTATCGCGATTTTCGAACATCTTTAATGTATCTATGGCCAGTTGCGTTTCTCGATTAAGTAAAAATACCATAGCTTTGTTTATTTCTAAATCAGCAGCTAAAGCACTATAAGCTGAGGATTTTATCGCATCGACGCACCTGAAAGAGTTGAGTGAATAAATACAGAGAATGTATACTAAGATATTTCTATGTGATATAATTTCTTAAATGTAAATAATAATAATTTAAGACATACCAGGCAAATCCAGCTGTAAGTGTATCTTCAATAACGGGTGCTATAAGTTTTGCTGCACAAAGTATACTTTTCTCAGCCTCCAACTTCATTTCTTTTTCCAATTTAGATAAATTATCAGTTTTTATAACTTCATTTAATATATTAGATGTAACATCATCCTGCAACACATAAATAAACAAATTTAAACTACATAATAAGTATACTTAATATGTCTAGTATACGACTTAATATTTGATTTATAATTTATATGTAAACAAAAAAAAATTATATATGAATAAATATTCATATATACTCATCATTCAATATATCATATACATATACAATAAACAAATAACATCCAAACAAAATATTTTTAAAAAATATTTAAAAAATTTTAACATTGAATACTTGATGAAAAGAAGCAATTAATATGAATGTGTTGCTATGTGAAATATGTGCACCTTTATGCATAATAAGTTGATACACACTGTGATACGTAGTAGTGCAGGTGTTGGCAACGTTTTGAGAAATACATAGCTTTAGTAAGCAGAGTACAATCGTGCCAAAACTCACAGGATTTATGCTATACTTGTCCTCCTGATCTATATTAAGTTGTACTTCTAATAATTCTAAGAAAGCTCTTTTCATCTTATCGCGATGAGATAATGCAAAATGACACAAAACAGCATGTAAGCCTGCTTTAAACTCAGCTTTTTCTCTCATGACCCATTCAAAACTATTCGCCGCTTCTTCTAACCGACCCATTTGCACAAATAACATGCCCATGTTATGCATAATCTTTATTCTGTGAAAGTTAGTCAAGATAATAATAATATTGATGATGACATAAGGCAATTAAATTCCTCTGCAGTTGTCATAAATAAATTAATAAATGTAAAGTTACCTTAGATCCTTATGAACTGTTGGAGCTTGATCAAATGCCA